CTAGTCCCTTAAAATGGTTCTAATCCTAAATTTCATAGGTGAATATATAGTACCTTATAGTCCTAATTTAATTAAAGAAGAAAGACATTTAAAATATTGGAGTCTAAAAATAATGATATCATTCATTACTTAGTACAGCTCCCTTTTTCCTATTTACTACTAACTTCCTTCCATCCTTCCGTCCTTCCTTCCTTCCTTCCTTCCTTCCTTCCTTCCTTCCTTCCTTCCTCCCTTCCTTCCTTGGTGCTGAATTGTTACATCACCTTTATTCCTTACTATATTAACATTAGATAAACATATATACCTGTTTATGAGAAATATATTTGGTAAACAGAATTGTAAAAATGATTCAATTTGGCTGGGCTCGGTGGCTCAGCCTGTAATCTCGAGCCTTTGGGAGGCTGAGGTGAGTGGATTGCCTGAGCCCGCGGGTTCGAGACCCGCCTGGGCAGCGAGACCTCATCTCTACAATAAATCAAAAAAATTAACCGGGTGTGGTAGCGCGCGCCTGTAATTCCGGCTACTTGGAAGGCTGAGGCGGAAGGATCGCGGGAGCCCAGCGGGTCGAGGCTGCGGTGGCCAGGAGCGGCCACTGCACTCCAGTCTGGGCGACCGAGTGAGACTCCAACCTCAAAAAAACCCAAAAAACAAATGATTCAATTTGAGGTAGAGGAACACCTGGAACGGAACCTTTGTTTATGGCCTTCATGGTTTGGAACTCCAAAACTTGGCCATAGTAATGCAAGCCATGAAAAGCACACAGCAGAACCAGAGGACTTGGCACACTTCAATGGAACATCAAATGTGCTGAACCAACAATCTCTATATAAATCATCAGGTGAATACAGTTGACTGGGTCAGGATCACCCGTGTGTCAGGATCTGCTTTCATGTCAATCACTACATTCAAAGAGAAAACTAAAGGAATTTCCCAGCTATAGACAGGTCTAGATATGCAAAATGTCCAAATGAAAATATTTTAATAGCCTATAACATCTTATCCATTTTATATATACATACATTGCATATAGTAGTGAGAATCTTTCTTCTTCATAACTAAAATTCCTAATTAGAAAACTGAAATTTTAAAACTTTCACTTTGCTTGAGAGTAATCCAGTGTATCTACTTTTCCTAGCATTCTTCTGCAGTGCTGCTACTTGCCTTCTAATTATGCCAAGGTGAGCACTTCAGCTTATAATTTTTGCTGGGAACATTAGAAACAATCTTTCTTAAATTGCATTTTAAAATATTCGGATGTCACACCCTTGTTTCACTTGCTAAACTTCCTTAATAATGCCAACAAGAAGCTTTCAGAAGTGGACTTTTATACTAGCAAAAGTCAACTCAGACCTGTTAGGTGCAGTGTACAAACTTGCCTGCTCCAGCAAGCATTCCACTCAAATTGACTGGGTGTGGCTTTTATTCACTGTTCAGTCACACTCAACAAAATCTGTTCTCTAGCTACCATCCCGTTTACATTGACATTCCCTTTATCTAGGGGCTTATAATAAGCAAACCATATTCAATTTTGCAAACATGATGTGCTCTTCTGGTATCCTGGAAACAGATCAAAGTATTTTTTGTGGAAAGACCTGAAGTTCAAGCCACTGATACAAATGGGTCTTAAAATGCAACCATGTAAATGCCAAGACTGGAATTTTTTTAAACAAAAGCCTGATTATTTCATGGATGAGAATCAGATTATTGGGTGGGAATGACTAAAAAAGATAGAGAATTGTTTGGGGGAGGATAGATAACAGGGAAATTAAGTAAAATCATATGTTACTTCTGTAGTAATGTCAGAATCTATAATAAAGATTTTTTTTTTCCAAATCAGACTGGTAAATGCCACTTAAAATTGTTCACACTAGCTCAATTACACCACACCTATAGTTTCCTAGCCCACAGAAGAGGACCATATCAGTCATGTAAGGGTTAAATTTTTGTACACATAATAACTGTAGAAAGTAATCTTTTATCATTTTATCATATCACAACATTGTTAAATAATCTACAAGGTGGAAAAGCAATTCTCAATTGTTCTCTGGGGTCTTCTAGGTAATGCCTTGTATCTTGTGATATGCTAGTAAATAAATTGTACTCCTGTGCATCATATCAGTCATCTTCTGCAGTTTGAAATATGAAATTACCCTTATTGAGGAAAAGAAAGGGAAATGTATTCTATTATAGAAGGCATGAAGAATAAAATTAGAAAGCACAAATGAAGAGGTTGGAAAAAAGCAATGGATTTCTTATTGGATTCCCAAAAGCCACTCTATTGTCCAGTGAGAGCCAGCATGATCAATAATACATGAAGCGTTGAAACTTAGCATGAAGAGATACTAGCAGAGGCTGACTAGAAGTAGCATATTCCAACTTCCTTCTATACCCCTACTTTACCCCATGCATCGTTCTATCATTACCTGAAATAAAGCATTTGGTGCCAAGAAGCTGTCCCTTGACTTTTAAAAAGATATATACTCCAGCTTTGTAGAAAATGCTGGGCTCAGATGTCTGATTATAGAATCTGGCTCCTGTTTGCTCAGTATGAAAGTGGGAAATTCCACGAGAGGCTGAGAGTAGTAAGGGTGAGTTAAACGCTCCCTTTATATAGTCATCTTTGACCAGCATCCCCTGATCCCTTCCATTCCTAGTCCCTGACAACCACCCCTCTACTCTGTTCCTATAAGTTCAACTTTTTTAAGATTCCACATATTAGATCACATGGTATTTGTTTTTCTCTATGTGGTTTATTTCACTTGGCATAATTCCCTCCCGATTCATTCATGTCATCTCATTTCATGATGCATATGTGTATCAAATTATCATGTTGTACACTTTACATACCAACAATTTTATTTGTCAATTATACCGCAATAAAGCTGCAGACAAAGCTCCCTTGCTTCATTCCCCATCTACTCACATCTTCTGGACTCGCCAAGAATGTTCTCTCTGGCTTTGTTCATATATATCAGTATCTAGAAGTCTTTCTCATCCCTATTCCCTTCCCTAGTCCCTCAGGAGGAACTAAGGTACTACATTGTGTGAAAGCCCAGGAAAGCGTTTGAACAAGGAGTTCAACCATGTAAAGTATTACTGAGGATCAAAGAGAAGCTTTCAGGAACTCACTGATAACCTTCTGGGAACTAATTTTCAATGTAATTAATCAGCACTGAATTCCAAGGCAAATATTTTTGGCAAATTAATAGTACAGAGCATGAAATCTATTTTACTTAAATCTGTCTAGACATTCTGGAAAGATAGCATCATGGTACAAAATTTTAGTGACTCATCAATGCCTTGCCCACCTGTTTTTGCATTTATCTATAAAGATGTGCTAGTTAAAGGGTATCATATCAACAGAAATCCTGAAGTCTGAGAATCAACTTTATAACGAGATAGGCTTTACTGAGAGTAGATTTTCCTACTCCCACATTCTCATTGCATCTAAATACCATATACATATTTTAGCTTTCAGTGTTTTTTTTAAAACAAATTATTTTAAAGATGTAGGGTAAATTCAGGGCTGGGTATACAAATGTTCATTATGCAGGTACCCTTGTTGATGAGGTGTGCCCCACCCCCGGCAGTTTAGTGTGTTTATTACATAGTCACAGATAACATGGGTAACAAATAAAAGTAACATAGCCCTTTCAAATTTATCTTGTTAATGATTTAAAGGAAATAGGTCAGCTAGAATTAGAATGAGGCAACACTGAGCTAAATTTGAAACCTGAAGAACTATAGCAGAAAAGGGACAGTTTTCAATTCTCCCTGAGAGGTGTAAGAAAAAAACGCAACTTTATATTTTAAGATCTCAGGACAAGATGACTTTTCAATAGGACAATATGAACAGATATAGCTTAATTACTTTTTTTTTTTTTTGAGTTGGAGTCTCACTCTGTCGCCCAGACTGGAGTGCAGTGGCCGCTCCCAGCCACCGCAGCCTCGACCTGCTCCGCCTCAGCCTTCCGAGTAGCGGGAATTACAGGCATGCGCTACCACGCCCGGCTGATTTTTTTATTTATTGTAGAGATGAGGTCTCGCTGCCCAGGCGGGTCTCGAACCCGCGAGCTCAGGCAATCCACTCACCTCAGCCTCCCAAAGGCGCGGGATTACAGGCTGAGCCACCAAGCCCGGCTTTAATTACTTTTTATAGGATTCATTTACACTCACTGATCCACAAAAATACTAAACACATGTCTAGAATGACACCATAATCTTATTAATTTCTGCAAAGGGAAACTCTATAGCTAGGTTAAAGTAAAAATGACCATCACCTGGCCAGTATTTCTTAAGACTGTCAAGGTCATGGGAACTTGGGAAAAACTGAGAAATGGTCACACACCACAAGGGAGAAGAGAGATAGAATTCAAACAAATGCATTGTGGTACCCTGGATTAGACACTGGAATAGAAAGAATGCATTCATGAAAAACCTGGTGAAGTCTGAATAAAGTCTGGAGTTTAGTTAATAGTTATGTGCAAATGCCAGTTTCTTGGTTTTGCCAAATCTACCATGGTAAGATAAGATATTAACAGTGGGGGAAACTGGGCAAGGAATAATACAGGAATTCTCTGTACTATCTTTGCAAATTTTCTGTAAATCTAAAATTATTTCAAAATTAAAAGTTTATTAAAAAACAACAGCAACAAAACTCCCATCAAAGAACAAGGAAATTTGTTTGAATTGATGTCCTAAAATTCAAAGGTTTCCATGTAATAGCAAACCCTCTGCTCATCTTAAAATACTCCTGCTCCTTTATTCATATTCTTTGATAAACTTAACTCATGTATATATGCAACCAGGTTTTCAATCTGACACACTTGATTGCTCTCTTCACATGCACAGCTCCATAGTGTCAATTAACATATTAGCTTGTGTCCTAAATCCTGTTGCAACTAACTTCCCCAAGTCTCAGCAAGGTTATTCCAATTTAGATATATACTCTTTAAAAAAGGTACACATAGACAATTTTCAAAGACATAGCTGTGACTTACAAGTGATGACATTTGAGCATTTTGGAGCATAAGCTGCATTTGCTGGGCGAACATGGCTGCGGCAGTCTTCTGTTGAATCAGATTGTTACGTCCATTAATCTCCAGCTGAGTTTTTAAATGTGGAGGAGGGTGAAAGTACTTGCAGTTCTCTCGAGTACACCGACCCTAACAATGAAGAATTAGACAAATTTGCATTTATTATTTCTAAAACTCTGATATAATTAAGAAAATAATAAGTGTATTTATTAAGCTCTTAGCACATGCCAAGAACTATAATTAGCACTTTGCATGAATTAACTGATTTAATCTCCATGCCAATCCTTTAGAATTGATAATTTTATAATCTTCATCTTCCAGGTGAGAAAACTGAGACTAAGAGAGGCAAAGTCACTTGTGTATGTATACATAGCTAAAAAGTGACAAATCTAGAACTAAAACCCAGTTAGTCTGATTCCAGAACTCATTCTCTTAGCCACTCTGCTCTGCTCTGCTTTGATAAGCATCAAATTATATTTAAAACAAAAATATTAGCAAGTGTATCAAATATTACAGATATGAATAAAAACTTTTCAACATGAGATGTAAAATAATGTATGTTTAAATTAAACAAGACTCAGGATTTGAATCTACATGCACATATTCAAGAAAACTTTTTTTTTTTGAGTTGAAGTCTCACTCTGTCATCCAAACTGGAGTGCAGTGGCACGCTCACAGCCACTGCAGTCTCGACCTGCTGGGCTCAGGCAATCCTTCTGCCTCAGCCTTCCAAGTAGCTGGAACTACAGGCATATGCCACCATGCCCGGCTAATTTTTTGATTTACTGTAGAGATGAAGTCTCGCCAAGTTGCCTGGGCAGGTCTCGAACCCATGGGCTCAAGCAATCCTCTCACCTCCGCCTCCCAAAGTACTGGGATTATAGTCGTGAGCCACCGTGCCCGGCCAAACAAGAAAATTTAGGGAAAATATTTAATAACTATATGCACATCAATACATGAACTTTGGGCTCCATTATTTGGAACAATCTATGCTCCAAAGCTCTTTTTCTAGAATCCATATAAGGTGAGAAACATCCTGAAATCCACTGACATTCTAGTAATCAAAGAATACATTCCTATACATGGCAGCTATACTACTCCTTAGGTTCCGGAAGCAATGGCCTGAGATCACTTGCATAATGGAGATCAAACTGTATTTTAAATTCTCAAAATTCGAATGTTTTACTGATGCCTTAAATACTTTCAGGACAGGATAATATGTCAGTTCTATGGCATCAAACATGCCTTTAGTGTCATCTAAATGCTGACATGGCTGCTGCTGACGGTGTTTCTTACGTAGCAGAAAAAGATATCACTAGACTAGTTGTTTATCACATTGTCATAAAGCTACTGCATTCAACTCATGAGCACTATACAAAGCAGCTAATGATTTTCTTATTTGGATTACTAGATCCACCACAATCCTTTTAAAACAGGCACAACTGCAAGCAATTCTCTTTCCCACGGGTGGTAAGATTCTTCATAGTACATGAGGTTATGTACAGGAGGAGGAGGCGGAAGAAAAAAGGCAACTTTTTTTGGACCCAAGAATGCAAGTTGCTAGGCCACCTGAATTCCCTGGAGAAAAATGAGTTCATTCACCAAGTGTTTTCATTCAACACATGCTATGCATTTTCCTTATTTATGATGCCTAAACAGTTTACGTGGTCACTTCTACATGTTTATTTTGTTATGAAAGCATTCCTGTAATTTCACTGAGAATCAAGGATGTCATTCAAAACTTCTATAGATCTACATATAATGCAAACCCAGATGCACTGCAACTGCTCTTTTTAAATATTAGATCACTGGGACAAGGAGACTCAAATGTTTTACCTTCCCTGGCAAGTAGCTGAGCATAACTTAAAACAGGGTTGAAAATTAAAAGATACCTTACTGTTTTCCGCCAAGTCTGTTGTTGTCTTTCTCCTATTGCTCAATTTACTTTTAATCAAATTAAAATAATTTTACAAAATAAAATAATATCTTAGTTTCAATGTATCTTTGTACTTCTATGCAAATCCTGAAAAAACACAATTTATTGGTAGTACGAGTAGAGAACTGTATTAACTGACTCTTCCTAAATTCTTAAAAGTAGTCTAGGAATAAATCCATAATATCAGCACGTGGACAGACTGTGAGGAGATCTTCATATGTGCTAAAAAATCACAATAATGGAGGTCTTTTCCCCATTTATGCATCCCTAAGAGAAACCATAAGCTTCTTTTTACACTTACCACAACCTGCAACAAGGCAGTCACAAGGATTTTAGTCCCTAGACTCTCCACCCTCGACCCACATAACTGTGGTTATCTGGCTCAGAATTAACAACCAAAGAGGCACTTGGTGATTTCCACAGCCAAGCATTCTAGTTTATACCCCTACTTTACTGTTTTTCTGTTTTTCTTCCTCCCCCCACACCCTAGCATTAAAGATTTCCCCAAGGCCCAGTTCTAAATCCTTTGCTCTCCTCTCTAATCTCTTTTCCCTGGAGAAATGAAGTTGTTCCAAAGTTTCATCTATCACTGCAATTGCTTAGATCTTAAATCTTTATCTCTACCTCTGACCTCTCTTTTGAATTTCAGATCTTTTTATTACCAATTGCAGCTGCATTTGGAGATCCTGCCCCCTAACCAGGTCTAAATAACTTACTGCTGACCTTCCTTCTCCTTTGGCTGTTTTTCATCTTGCTGCATACTCACATTTAGGGCCACCCCTCAAATTCTTATGCTTTGGCATAGTTACATAGCAGTAGTGAGAAAAGAAATTAGGCAGCTGTTGAGCAGTATTGCTTTAGGATTGCAAAGCCACCCAGACAGCTTGTTCAGTCATAGAACACAATTTGAAACCCTCTTGCAAAAAAAAAAAAAAAAAAAAAAAGGCTATATAATGAGGACTGTCCTTTATATTCAGGAATTCTAAACAATAGATCCGTTTTTTAAAAAAGAATAATTGAAATTTCACCATTTGCTGCAATTTAGAGTTTTAATATCATTTACATCGAATGCAATCAGAGAGAGGGGAAGAATGGGAGGAGAGAACACAGTATATTTGGTACATTTCCTGCTAATCTACTGATAAAGAATTGAACATGCGTTTGTGCTTTAATATCACTGTCCTTTACATATAGTAACTTTTCTTAAGCTTTTTCTTGGGAAATTAATGACACTTTTACAAAGCAAAAACAGTACACAGAAATAGAAAAAAGAGAATTCCGCTTTAAAAATTGCATCAAGTTGGGCTATAAAACTAAAGTATGGAATATGAGGCAGGGTTCAATTTAAAGAAACTTACTCATCTTAATTATGAGATTTTACTTGATTATAAAGCATCCTTTTTGAATGACAGAATTCATAATTTAATTCTATAACAATGCAAATGGATAGCAATAACACCTTCCTAGAGGCTGCTGCTTATGTTAAAGAAAGCTTATAAAATTAAAAAAAAACCTTCATTTTTTAATCCAAACAATAGGAGACCAAGTAATTTAATATCTATGTTATCTGTGGAATACAACGTTTCAAAAGAAAGCCATGACCTTCGTGTTTTCTCAAAATGACTTTAGAATTCAGGATAATGTATTTGTATATACAACACTTGGTGATAATAAATCTCTGCATAGCATTCATTCTTCAAGAGGCCCAAACTTGGTTATAGGCCAAAATACTTTAATCGGTATTTTGGAGAGAACTTTGTTTTTGACATTTGTTAGCACTTGTTTTTAATCCTCGTGGAGGATTAAGGCTTTGGTAAAGCATGTAAGGATGGAATGGAGTAGAGGAAAGGGAGGGAATGTCCTGGCAGGGTTGGTAATCATCTATTAATTTGTCCTTTGGAAAACCAATGACTATGGACTAGAAAGGTTCCAATGATTTCCCTAGGCTAGCTAAAGAACTCTGAGTGGGCTACAGGATACCCTATTACACTGAGTCTATAACAGCCCACTGTGATAGGCCATCGTGGGTCTGAAAAATTACCTGTCAGGTTCCCCTCGCCAAGTCAGTGGTATCTCAAGTGCTCCTTCCAGTCAAGGCATACAGGTTCAGAGTTGCCATGTACTAGTGCAATGGACCAGACCATGTCATAAATGACTCTATACATGTTGAACCGATGACAGTTGCCATCCTCTGGCGGAGGAGGCTGTATTCTAAATAGAGCAGCTAAGGCTAGTCAAGACATGTAACTCAACCTCTCCCTCCACCCCCCACCACATCCACACAAAATTAAAGAAACATTGAAGAGATCAGAGTGCGAGTTCATTTATGCTTGCCTCAATTTCCCTCCTTTTCCATTTCCTTTTGGCTTTAAAAACTTGTCATTCTCATCTGGTCTCTCACTGTGTTACTGAATTAAGAAAATAGCAAAGTGATTCAATAGGAAAGTGATTCTCTGCTGAAATAAGTGCTACTATACCTAAGAATCTTCCAGCTCCCCTTTCCTATCTACTATCTGAAAATGCACCCAAAAAGCAGCAGGGGGAGAAAATGGCCAATGGCATTTCTGAACTACATCTGCATCAGAAAGTTGATGACAAAGGAAAAAGTTGCAGAGCATTTATAAAACTTTCCAAAATCAATCTATTGCCTTTTTCCCTACCTTCAGGCTTTTCACAAAGGAGTACAAAGCCTTTGAGTAAAAGAGAAAAGTAGCATTGCAGAGATTCAAATGCCACCTAAGTCTAGGGAGTTATGAGAGGCAGAGTCTGTCAGATATAAGACTTCCCATGCACTTGGTGGCAGAAAAACCCTGTGAAATGTAATTTTTATGTTCATAAGAGAAAGCCCTACCATCTATCAGAATAAGAAAAGGAACCTAGGAAGCTGAAAATTACCCTTTGTCAGTCACAGTATCTTAACAAAAACAGCTGTTTGCAGAATAACTTACTTCTTTAAATACATTTGGAGTTATAGGGGGGGAAATCCTAAATATCCTCTCTCAAATACAATAACTGGATTATCTTTTCAAAGACACAGTTTCACTGATCTGCTAGACTACCAAGAGTTAAAAGTGAAGCATTAAATAAGAGCCCCAAACAGATTATTTGTTCTATGAAGAAAAATGTTGTTATTGCATTTTAATGCTCATGTATTAAGTGAAAAATTCTATTGAACTGTAATTTACATGCACAG